TTAGATTTTTATTAGACTACAGTTTTTATGTAAATTAAGAAGTATATGGTGCGTTTGGAACTCGTTTTAAAATAATTTTATTTTTTATATAAAAATGGAAATGAAAACGTTACAGAAATTATTTTTACAAATGCGTTGGTAGTTTTATCAAGAGATTATTTTAGTATAAAAAAACTCATTAATGTCTCTCTCTCTCTCTCCTTGAGAGAGGAGAAAACAGAAATAAAAAATAAAAAACGACTAAAAGTCATTTTTCATTTATCTCCCATTTTACACTAAACCAAAAAATCATTTTTTTTTGTTTTTTATCTTTAATTGTGCCAAACGTCATTTTAGAATCGTTTTCATTTTTTCTTTCTTGAAAAACGTGAAAATAAAAATAAGAACAATTCTAAACACGGCAATAAATACTTTAGTCCTATACCGAGTCTGCTCTGAGTGAAGTTCATACTAAGTTAATTTTGGCCAATTTTAGTTTAAGTTTTTTTTTAATATTATACAATGTCACGCCCCCCAAACGGGGTGGGTGATGTGGAGCTCGATTAGGGATTAATAAAGCAGATTCCCAGACCGGGCCCCACACTTAACTGCATTAAAATATAAATGAATTACATAATCCATGAGCCTCTGACACACAGGGCTCCACCCCACAGGACATACAGTATCGTACATACATGCTCATGTAATTAATCATTACAACAGACATCAACCACAGTCTAGTAAATCCAATATTAAATAGGTTTACATAATTTCTCAAATTCCTTACATTTGTTCAAGAGGATAAACTCAATCCTCACTTGATCCAACAGTAGCAACTCCAGCTACCCTGCACCGCTCATCGAGTCTCCTGGGAGGGGTTTAACATTTAAAACATAAAACGTGAGCGAAAGACCCAGTAGGATATAATTTGAAATATTTAAAATAAATGAGCGCATGAATAAATAATTGAATACATAAATAAAATAAGACATTCAGTCCCGACAGAACAGCCGGAACCTCACATCCTTTTTCTCAAAGGAAATATAACTGAAAA